TCAATCGAAGGAAGGTTTTACTGATGTCCAGCAATACCCTCTGCCGCCATGTAGTGCCTGCGCGCACAGAAGCACTGTCGAAAACCCTTTGTGCAGCGCAAACAGCACTGGCGGCAGGTAGCTCAGCAACGGCGGACACTATACATTCCAAAGATTCAGTCCAAATATTCCGAAACTGCCAGGAGCAATTATACGGCCAACATCGACATAGACAACTGGCTGTGAAGGGTCGTTAACATTAGACTCTTGCTGTGGGTATGGTCTTGTCCAAGAACTTTCTGGATCTTTTTCCTTGTCCATGCAGCGTTTGTGTGCATTACAGGCGGTATGCCTAAATTCCTCTTACTTTCTAGGTCTAGGTCTGAGTATTTTTGTCCGCTACCTCTACACAACTTGGATTATTCTAGTATAGCATTCGCCTGCAGTGCTGCAGTGTAGCTGCAGTAGCTGCAGTGTACACCTAAATGCTTGAAATTTCCGGATGTACATATTATTGATTGTTCATACGATGCGTGAAATCGTAGAACGTAAGGGAGCTTTGCTTGCATGAATGGGGTTGAAAGTCGTTGGATTTGTGCTGCAACGAACCAGTACCAGGCCACTTCCTACTACTTTTATTGGATCCGCCAGTCATGCGAGCAGTGGCAGGAAAAGCGGCTGAGACCTAGAAACGGACAAAGCATCTACCGTTTCACTTCAAAAGGGGGACACCGACCTCAAGGGGAGCCTGGGAGCCTTTAATGTGTGTGTGTGTGTGTGTGTGTGTGTGTGTGTGTGTGTGTGTGTGTGTGTGTGTGTGTGTGTGTGTGTGTGTGTGTGTGTGTGTAGTGCAATGGGTTTTGACTATTCGGTATATTATTGGTGTCCCGCGTTATTCACAGACAGTATGTAGAGCCGTCGTACAGTCCCCAGAGATCGTGGCAGTCACTATTTATTGGCGGTAGCCTTAACCAGTGCGAGTCTAGTAGTGAATCATTTTCTTATACCAGTGTCACTAAGGATAGGGTTGGGGAGTTACGCGCGTAGAAAATAGTATCAACGGATTCCAACAAACACCGTCTGTTCACGAAATATGAGCCATCTGTTAACGAGGGCGAAACATTTTCTACGCATGTGACTCCCCAGGTGGTAGGTTTTCCAGGCACTGATTCCTTCCATCAACGAGGCAGCTAGGTTCCAGAGGGGAATCAAACTGCGTTTAGTTTCCCTTGCGAAGACTCATGCCTTGCATAGACGTAACTAGACGCAGTGTTCCACCAACATTTTCTGAGGTTTCGCCTCCATATGATATCTGATTTTTCTGCACTTCCTTAAAATACGAATACCGACAAATGCAGATACAATGCCTTTTTCCAGAAAGTGCGTTCGACATATGTACACAACCGGTGAAAATTGCCGCTTGCGCCGCAACACGGTTGTTCGAAATTGTCCATAATGGCTGCCGTCGCATGTCCTTTGGGCATGCTAAAGGTTGGTGGATGCTAGGGGTTGGTGTTAGCACAGAGTGGCGCCTACAAGGGTTGTGCATGCTCAGGTAAGAATGAGGGCGAAGCCAACGCGCCCTTCCACATGGCAATGAATCTAGCCTACTAATAATCAAACGTGTAGGCAGTGAGTCTTAATTTGCTTGTAGACAAGGGTGAAACTGAGGGATAGCAAAACAGCCCATACGTTTGTAGCTGTGCAGTGTGTAGTGGCTTGCGGCTTCACCGGGGTATAGGCATCTCTGAAATGTCCATACCTATATTAACGATAAACTGTTAAAACGTTAGTTGCGCCTCCTCCTGTTGCTGGTGTCGGATTGCTTCTTGCATAAAAGTGTAACGAAGATTCCAAAATCGCTGGGTGAAACCGCGATGCCCGTCACACCAGATAGTATGCAAGGGCGTGCTTTCTAGCTCAGCTGAAAGAAAGCCCAGATTGTTGGCCAGGCCAGGGCGCTTTGACAAAGATGCAAAGAGTCGTGCTATAGACAACTTTTAAACTGCGTGATTCCATATTATGGGAGTGCTATTCTAGGCTTCCTTGGGCGGCCTATCGCTTTGCCGTGAATGCGCGCGTCAGTTACACGGTAGCCCATGTTGCTGCAGATGCTGCATGAATAGATCTGTATCCAAAACCACCGGCCTACGCAATCTGCTATACAGCAAGTACGAACTTCATGGACCTGGATGTCTCACCACATGGGTTAGCCGTGCAGTGGACTGTTGGGGTAAGCGTCTGAACGGAGCAGCGTGGCAACCCTAATGATGTAGCTAGCTCAGCCTCAATTAAGTACACATGTGGTAGAAGCTTCGACTGTTCGATTGAACAGGAGGTGCGTTTTCTAATCTCGAGTAGTGGTCAAAGCCCTCGCTGGAAGATCAGTCATATCTACACCAACCCCATACTGTCGGTACAGCACTGAACCTCTTACAGCACTAACCCGGTTTTTACACGAGTGGTTGGGGGCCTGCCAGGGTATCGATGGTGCAACTGGCACTACCCATGAGCAATCGCTCACTAGTAATCATTTCTTCCCAGCAGCGACTATGGCTGTGCGGTTTGAGCGGATAATTCTCTTTTCGGGGGAGCCGGTTGAACTGGCGGTGGCAGGGAGTACGGGTTCATGTAAAGACCACAGGGAGTAGCTGCATAACGGACCAGAAAAGCCCCAATATTTTATGTTGACGGGTGGATAGGTTAACAGCCGGAACTCTATTCGGGAACACTGAAAGCTTCTGCGGATGTGTTATATTATCGTACAAACCAGAGTGTTTACAAGTTATCCTCTGTGAAGAAGGTGCGACACAGAAGTGCTGCTGACCGGAACAGAACGAGGCACCGTGTATTAATTTTTCAGCATTTCGCTTCCTGCAAAGTGGTGCTTAGCTGTAGCTGGGTAGCCGGTAATTTGTTGCCCGGAAATTTTATTCAGTAGTGTGTATTTTCTCGTAAAGTTTAAGCATATGTGATGGCAACTGGTCATGGAAGCAATAGCCCCTTTTTTGAGTAGTTTGTGAGTAGAGCGAACGGCAATTAGAACTGGAATCTATGGTTGTATTTATGCTCATTAAACTAGCTGCAATGCTGAGGTGCACTCGTGGAGCTACAAGCCACTTGGGGCCAGTGCTCTACAAGCTGTACGACACACTGCGCTATGTAGAATTCGAGTCCCCATTGCCTTGTGGTTTAGTCTCTATACTACTTTGTGTATTCTGGTTCTGGGCGTGCTCGGTGTAGACAGTAGGTAGCACTTCGATATTTCCTCCTGCGCATGAGCTGCACAAAGCCTTCAAACCAAGTTGGGTTGCATTGCAGCTGTGCATTGCTTGGGACAACTGACGAGTGGAAGATGCTTCATGAGGAGTGATGTAGTATGCTGTGTTAAAAGGAGCTACCCACGCTACCACTGCGCCCTTACAGGCGAGTGCATGGAAACTACGGTGCAGCTGGAATTAGTCGCTATTATGCCGTGGCGTGACTGCAAACCCTGATATATAACTTGTTCATTCGCTCCAGCTAGTAGGTGTAGTAGCGGGTAAGGGTCAAACAACACCTGAGCGGATAGGCGTCTATAGCTGTTCACCAATGACTATCGCAAAGGTTCTAGGGGGTTCGTATGACTTCGTACTCCTTTAAGCATTTCTGTCCTGAAGGACTATCCACGTATGTCCAGGAAGTAAGTAGCTTCATGCATACTGGGCACTAAACATCTAATGTGTGAAACGTCTCAAGGATACTTACTTACTGCACCAACCTAGCAGCATGACCACGGCTGGCGTGGCTACCATTCCTCAACTACAGCTTCCATTGTGCTTCGAATGCATCAGCCACGCCAGCCGTCGTCCTGCTTCTGTGTTGATGCAGTAAGTAAGTATCCTTGAGCCTTTTCACTCAGCTGTCTACTGTAGGCAATTCGCCAGTGTCCGCGCCTGCCGAAAAGACCGGCGCCCCCGAAACCCAGCGCCGAATGTGTATGTTTCAATATTAAACAGGGTATATATTGCCCTTAAAAACGCTCTTCCGCCGAGGAAAACCATGCTGTGCATCCTCGTCGTAGGCAATTTTTAAAAAGCCGAACCTTAATTTATGTTCTAGTTGGCGTCTTCGTTCTAGTTGTGGCTATATCATTCTCTGGAGAAAGCAAATCGTTGTTAGAATCGGAAAGGGCTATGTTTGCTCTGGCTTTTGCATGCATTTCACGCCGACGCATTCCAATAAAAAACAATGCAGACGGCAAGTCAGACGGGGGACGTAGTTTTATTATCATTCTATCATCAGCCTCAACCACTACGGAAGCAGTCACGGCAGAAGTCAGAGTAGAAGTGGCGGTAACAGCTGCGATGGAAGAGCCATGACTAGGAGAAGAAATGGAACACGACACAGAGCTCATAGCCTGATAATGGAAATTGCACAATGGGAAACGTTTAACCCCAGCACCTACCGACTGCTCCCCACCACTGAGTAGTTGCACATGGTGATGCAGCAGACGCTGCCGAGCCCGTATTTTTGTCACTAACTCGTAGCAAGACATAAAAGTTCAGTTAAAACCTTCCTGAATTTCAATTATTAAAGTTAAGAAAAGAACTGAACTGCGCGCACCCTTCCCCCCGATCTTCCCAACGCGCTGACAGGGCCAGGGATGGGTGCCGTTGCATGGAAGACAACAGCCACTTAACGCGAAATATGCACACTTAAGTGTTCAAATAAGTTAAAACTTCGAACGAGCAATGCTCGCTTCAAAGAACGAGGCAGAAAACAATGTTTAACCATTGCCACGTGGTTAAGGAAGATTAGGCATCTATCTTCTACCTAAAAAATGTGCCTCTCTCAATATCTGCCGGCTCTTGCTTCTACACTCCCCACTGGAATGGCAATGGGTGGGCCGCGCGGACCGGAGGAGCTATCAGATTCGTTAATGAATCCTTCAGTACCAAGACAACATAGTCAGGGCATCGACGAGTTGGCTAATTGTGCTAGGAAGGAACTCGTTTTGCGCTGAAGGCTGGTAGCTTAGCATGCATCCAAGAGGAAGCCTTGATACACTCTGTGGGAGGTCTAGCCACTTGACGGCAATGAATGGTGCGGCTTGCGGATAGAACACGCTTAAGCGAAATGATACAGCTTGTTTTCAGACTGCTTCCAGAGCATATGCTTAGCGGTTAAGTATGTCTAAGCAAACCAAAACATCCGGTTGGACAACTGTCTGTAATGTAGAAGCTTAACCTTTTCTTGTACGTTGTGTGGTGCCGTGTTTAATGGGCAGGGTGTAATATTGCGTATAACAGTCACTAGTGTGGACCGCTTGCATGTAAGTGGTGAGAGGCACCAGAACCGACCTGGCTGAGCGTCAGCAGTAAGAACGACATGAACTTTGCTTCCTGCCTGAGCTGTTTTGGTTTTGCCCTTGGCTCAAGCATCGAGAGCTCGGCGGTTGATGTTGAAAGTTTTGTTCTTGTTAGCGCAGGCCTGAACTTAGAGGCTGCTGCTGCTTCTCTGTGTCGTCTCTATCGTTTGCACGCTCCTAGCAGCAGCAGCTGCTGCTGTAGCAGCAGCTACAGCAGCAGCAGCAGAATGGGTGGTGCTGCGCTGCTGTTAGCCCCTGAGAGGGGAGCAACAGACACTACACTACAATCCGAGGTAATAATTGCTCAGCTGTATCCTCCAGCTAACCGTGCAGCAGCAACAGCAGCAGTAACAGCAGCAGCAGCAACACTGGCACAGGATCAGCTGCAGCAGCTGGAGCAGCAGCAGGGGGTGTAGGTGCAGGAGGAGGAGCAGCAATACTGCCCGACTTGCTGCTGCTCCCTTGCGATCTTGTTGCTGCTGAGGGTTGTGCTGCAGCAACAGAGACAATTATATTAACTATATCTGCTGTTGCTTCCTCCCTTCCCCCATTGCTGCTAGGGGAGCTGCTGCTGCTGCTGCTGCGGCAGATACAAAGGAACCGTGCGCCGCTGCTGCTGCTGCTCCGGCAGGCGGAGGCACTCGTCTCAGCAGCAGCATTATTATCCTCTATTTTAAATGATATAAGAACAGAGGAGCACCAAAACAAATGCAGCAACAGCAGCAGCAGCAGCAGCAGCAAGGATACAGAAGATATACAAAGGAGCCACCAGCGATTTTCCCACCTTGCCCAGGCACTTGCACTGCTGCTAGAACTCCAGCAGCAGCAGCAGCAACAGCAGCAGCTACAGCAGCACCAGCAGCAGCAACAGCAGCAGCAGCACGAATACAGTGCGTCGCGCTGCTGTTGCTTCTATTGCTGCAGAGAAGGAGAAGATTTGCCAGAGGCAAGTGTAGGTTTGCTGCCTCAATTAACTGACAAAGATGCAGCAGCAGCAGCAGCATATGAATCCTTAATTTGCTGCTGCATGCGATTAACAATAGATGCATTAGGTAAGCTTAGGGGCCGCTCTGCGGTGTATGCGCAGCTCCCGTTGCTGCTGCTTGGCCTCGTGGAGGCAGCAGGCAGCACAGAGCAGCTCGTTGCGCATGCAGCTGTCTGTACACTGCAAACCCTGCATGATGCGCTAGGTAACTGCCGCTACCAAGGAGAAGCAGCAGCAGCAGCAGCAGCAACAACAACAACAACAACAACAGCAGCAACAGCAGCAGAAGCAGCAACAGCAACAACCACAGCGAGGTAAACAATAGAGCTGGAGAAACAGGCGCAGAACTTACAGCCAGCAGCGGGAGAAAAGGGAGACACACAGCAGCAGCAGCAGCAGCAAACAGATGCATGCATTAAGACAGAAGCAAACATTGGTAAGGCACAAAGAGAAGATCGGTAGTAGCAGCAGCAGCAGCAAGGCGGCGCTCTCCCCTGCTGAAGAGACTGCGCGTATACACGACAGGCAGAAGTAGCAGCAGCAGCAACAACAGCAGGTGCAGCAGCAGCAACAACAATAGCAGCAGGAGGGAGATGTACTGATGGGCCGCGGTGTCTGCTGCAGACAGAAGGGGCTTTGCTGCTAGACGAGTTAGCTTGCTGCATGCAGCAGCTGCTGCAGATGCAGCGGCAGCAGCTGCTGCAGCAGCAGCACCAGCATCATCATCATCATCAGCTGCTGATGATGATGATGATGCTGGTGCTGCTGTGCAGTGGTTCTTCTTGCTGCTGCTGCTGCTGCAGCAGCAGCAAGAAGAACCACTGCTGTTATTGCCTTAGCCCCTCCCTCTTTCTTAGGTCCAGTAGGCTCTCTTCTTACGTTGCTGCTGCAGCAGCAGCAGGTGCTGCAGGAGCATGCAGAGCAGCAGTTGCTGCAGAAACAGGAGCAGCTACTGCTGCAGCAGCAGCAGCACCTGCTGCAGCAACCTGCTGCCTCCGTTCCTGTACGGGTACTCCGCTTATTCGCTGCTTTTTCTTTTTGCCTATCTAGTGTATTAACAGCAGAAAGAAGAAAAATATTTTTCTTCTCCTTCTCCTTTTGTTTGCTGGCGTTGCTGCCAAATGCATGCAACAGCAGCAGCAGCAGCAGCAGCATCTTCTTGTTCTTCTGCTGCTGCTGTACTAAAACAATTTGATTCTTCTTGTCCTGTCTCTTCTCTCGTGCGTCGCCGTGTCTCGCGGGGAGGCCTGCTGGCCAGCAGCAGCAGCAGCACCCCTGCAGCAGTCAGTAGCTGCAGCAGCAGCAGCAGCAGCAGCAGGAGATGCATTAGGCTCTGTTAGGGAACCTTCAGCTGTTTGTCTGCTTCGTGAGGTTGGCCTTCTTTTTGTTAGTGAGGATGCGGATACAAATGATTTCACTGAGGATCCTGCTGCTGCAGCAGCAGCAACAGGGGCAACAACAGCAGCAACAACAACAACAACAGCAGCAGCAGCAGCAGAAAAACCAAACGCAGCAGCACCTCTAGCAGCAGTGTACAGCAGCCTTCGTGTCTGCGCCGTGCAGCTGCTTACAAGGGTTAGATCTCATCTACAAGAGAGAAGTTCTGCTCCTGCTGCTGCTGCTGCTGCTTCTGCTGCTGCTGCTCACCTAACGGTGCTGCGGTGTTTCATGGTGTTAACATCAAATGAAAGGGATTTGTTCCCTGTAGTCTACCAGGCAAGACTGCTGCTGCTGCTGCTGCTGCTGCTGATATTGCTGCCCTTTGCTGCTGCAGTTTGCTGCTTCTGTTTGCAGCCTGCTCATTGTGCTGCTGCTGCTGCTGCTGCTGCTGTTTCCTCAGCTATGGCCTTCCCTTCTGCCATCGTTCCATCATACAGCTCCACTCTCTGTCTTCATATTGGCTTTCGGTACGCTGCTGCTGCAGCTGCTGCAGCTGGTGCTGCTGCTGCTGTTGTCGCTGCTGCTGCCGCCGCCCACCCGCTTGCATAAATAGGATACGATGCTTATCCACTCTCTCTGAATGTACAGAGTTTTGGCTCAGCCTGTATATGGCTAAGGGTTTAGGGTCTAGGGTTTACTGTTGAGGGTTTAGGGTTTAGAGTTTACTGTTGAGGGTTTAGGGTTTGTGCTATTCAGGCATTTTGAAGTTGCTGACCGCCACGGCTGCTCATTTTATGCGAGACAAGTATAAGAGAGGGATTAGGGTTTACGGTTTAGGTTTACTGATGAGGGTTTAGGGTTTAGGGTTTAGGATTCAGGGTTTGTTTTATTTTTATGTTGTTTTATATGTTATTTGCCTTTTCTTTTTTTGTTTGTTATATTCTTTGTATTTCCTTTATTATATTATTATATTGTTATACTATATTTGTTTTATTTATTTTATTTGTTTATTTTTCTTTTTTTTATTTTTTATAGATTCTCTAAGGAAATAATTGTTGAATTCGCACTACGATTGGTGAAGGCTGAGCCTTCCCGTGCAGAAGACGAGCAAGGAAGAACAGAAACATACAAGTAATAAATAATAAATAAATAATAAATAAATAATTAAATAATAAATAATAAATAATAAATATAATAAATAAGTAATTATATTATTGTTGTACTTAATGTATACAAACATTTCCTTCCTTCAACCAATTCATTTTCTTATAAATACTTTGGGGCTGGAATATGCATGCATGCATGCATGCATGCATTAATGCATGCATGCATGCATATTAATTAGCATGCACATTAATATGCATGCATATTAATGGATGCATATTACTGCATGAATATTAATGCGTGAATGCATATATGCATGCATACATTCATGCATGCATGCATGCATGAATATTGTGTGTATGTTATTTAAATTCAGGGCTCAATTTGCTGTTTTACATTTTATAGCATTTTCTGCAGTTGTTCGTCCTGAATTATTTTATTCTTCTTCTTGTGTAGATGCTGCATTATTTTGTTGCAAAAGATTATTAAATAAATATTCTCCTCCTTCTATTCTTATAGAAGCACAAGAAGCATTAAAAGCTTTACATTGGATCGATCCTCCAAGGGTAAAAAAAAAAAGGGGTTTAGGGTTTAGGGTTTAGGGTTTAGGAGGGTTTAGGGTTTAGGGTTTAAGGTATATATAGGTGTGCGTATCTTGTTCTGTGTTTTCTCTTGTTCTTTTGTATCTTTTTGTTTATTTTTCTTTTTTTTTCCTTCCCTATTTCTATTTTATTCTTATTAGTGTGTAGTCAATTAAAGAATGACGCTTTCCTTCCTTCTTTTTTGTCAATTGTTGTGCTTTTTTGCCTTTTTTCCCCTCCCTCCCCTCATTTCTCTCTTTGTTTCTCCGCCTATTCACATATAAATAACATTAAATAACCTTTTCCCCTGTTTCTCTGTTTATTTAAATATAAATAAAATTAAATAATATTTATTTATTTTCTTTTTTGTTTATTTGTTTCTGTAGGTTTCCTTGAAGTGTCGTGCTGCAGTGACGATAGCATTGGCGCTACGTGAGGGCAGCAGCAGCAGCAATATTGGGGTGTATAGGCAGCTAAATTACTTAATAGAAGGGAATTCTTTTTTAAATAATATAAATAATTCATCATATTATTCAAAAAGTTTATCTGTACCAATATTAAGATTAATAAATACTGCAAATACAAATAAATATAAAAAAAAAAATAATAAATTTGAATCTCTTACACCTGCGCATGCAATATGGTCAGGTGTATGTACAGCTCATAATATTGATAAAATAAATGAATTAAGAATTTTCTTCAATATTCAATTAAATGCTGCTGCAGCACAAATCAACCCTGACGCTATTCATAAATGTTTATGTGATTTTACTACATCAAGGTTGATGAGGGCTGCGAGGGTTTAGGGTTTAGGGTTTGAGCCTAGACACTGGAAAACCTCTTTTTTTTTCTCTCTCTCTTTTTGTCTTAATTTGTTTTCTGCTACTTTTGTCAATAACTTAATCGGAGGAACTTAACACACAAAGAATTGACCTGTGCTGCAGGTGCTACTGCTGCTGCCATTGCTGCTCCTGCTGCTGCTTCAATTGTTCCTGCTATTGTTGCTGTTATTGCTAATTGCTAGTTGCTAACTAAAAGATGCTGTTATTAATTGTATGTATATATTAAAATAAATTAAATAAATTATATATTTATTGCAGTAATCGCTGCATCCTCTTTGGTCCTGCAACAAGGAAGAAACAATAAACAAGAATTGCTGCATAAAAAAAAAGAGGCTAAGGCTTGATTAGCTTGGTAAATAAAACAGAAACAATACAAATTTAAATAAAGAAGACAAACAAAGGCAAGGACAAAGAAATATAAACAAAGATAAACAAAAACAAGGAGAAAGCAAGAAAAAAAAAGAAAGAAAAAGAAAAAAGAAGAAAAATGTTTTATTTACCGCCAAAGTTTTGCAGGAGTTCTGAATAAAATTTTGCCGCTGTCTCATCTCCCTAAGGAAAAAAAAGAAGAATAAATAAATAAATAAAAATAAATATAAATAGAATAATTATTATTAAATAAAAATAAATATAAATAGAAGGAAAAGAAATAAATGTAAATAAATATGAATAAAAGAAAAAATAATTAATAATAATTATTCAATTAATGCACGCTGCGTCATAGCTGTGCAGGTACGAGCAACAATAGCAAAGAACAATGAACAAAAGAAGAGAAAAAAGGAGGAAAAGAAAGAAAAGAGGAAAAAAGAGGGAATAAAGAAGAAGGCAAACCCTACAACACTAAACCCTAAACCCTAAACCCTAAACCCTAGAGGCCCGCACAGTATCTGCATAGAAGAAAGCCAAAAATGTTGCTGCCTTTAAGACAGCCTCTGGGGCTTTGCTTAGAGCAGCCGATAGAATCCATGCATTAGAGACCTGCATGCATGCATGCATGCAGCAAATAAATAAATTCTTTCTTCTTTTTTTTTTTTGCTGCTAGTGGAGCAATCCGTTGCTTGGTGTTTCCTTGCATTTTATATTTAACCCTCTATAAATACTAAACCCTAGACCTAAACCCTAAACCCTAAACCCTAATTATCTAGCAATTCTGCTACAGAGAAACAGACGCGGGAAGCGACTAAACCCTCCAACAGCAGCAGCAGCAGCAGCAGCAGAAACAGCAGCAACTTGGTATACCTGTCCCCTGCTTAATTCATGAAGGAGAGGAGTGGCCTTCGGGCACTTGGACCCCAAAGTTTCCTTGAAAAAACTGCATAGACGCAACAAAAGGCCAGCAGCAAACAGATTAATGCATGCATACATGCATGTATACATGCATATATGCATGTATACATGCATGCATGCATGCATGCATTTGCTGAACCAAGAAGGAAAAAGGCACGTACCTCTCTAACAGACGCTCAGCCCAAACAGCCGCCGTCATAGAACCCTTTTCTCCATCCAAACGCAGCCTCTGCACACAGCAGCAGCAGCAGTTGTTGTTGCTGTTGCAAGGGCCCCAGTAACGGCAGCAGCAGCAACAGCAGCATCCCCAGTACCCACAGCAACAAAAGCAGGAAGAGTTGCAACCCTTGCAGCAGCAGTAGTGGCAGCAGCAGCAGCAGAAGCCAAGATGATGATTGAATACCATCGCGCATGCAAAGCATTCCGCAGCAGATTCCGTCGAGTGGCAAAGCAGCCAAGACTGCAGCAGCAACAGCAACAGCAGCAGCAGCAGCAGCAAAATATAATTTTGTTATGCATGAATCAATTCCTTTTATTTGTTTTTTTGTTTTGTCTGTATAATGTTTTATGTTGCATGCTCAATGCACCAATTATATCCAACAAACCAATGAATGAAGAAACACAAAACCCTAAACCCTAAATCCTAAAGCCTAAACCCTAAACCCTTGAACGTTACCCGTTCAAAACTCTTCAGAGCTGCAGAATGTTTATTTCGCTGTTTTTCTGCAGTTCCAAGATGCCACCAAGTTGATGCCAAATCAGGCCTGTGCAGAAACCCTAAACCCTAAACCCTAAACCCTAATCCACAAACCGTAAACCATACGCAAATTACCATACACCAGATTAATCCACTTAAACCCTCATACACCAGGCTAAACCCTTTGCACTACACCATACACAGTCCTACCAAAAAAAAGTAAGCTGTTACCTGCACTTGACAGCGGCAGCGTACAGCTGCTCTGCTGCAGCCCAGTTGTGCAGCAGCGCCTGTGTCTGCCCTCCCCCCAAATGTGCTGCTGCTGCTGCAGGAGCTGCTGCAGCTGCTGCAGCAAAGGCCTTCGCTGCTGATAGCAGATCGCCCGTCTCCAAATACGCCGAACCCAGCTGCGTCCACCCATCGCCAGCCCTGAAAAAGCCAAAACCCCAAACTCTAAACCCTAAATGAGCACGATCTTAGATTTTAAACCCTTAGCCCGAATAGAGCATACGCCCTCTAGGGTTTACAAGCACTCCATACTCGTCCTATTTACTCAACTAGAACCATAAACCCTAAACCGTAAGATGCCAAACCCTTAAATCGGAAACGTAAAACCCTAAACCCTAGGAGGAAAACTGCGTGGGGCCAACCGTAAACCCCCAATCCTTTGGACCGTAAACACTCAACCTAACCCTTAACCGTACAGAAACCCTAACCGTAAACCCTAAACCCTAGACCTTGAATTTGTGTCGTACGTCGGATTTAGTGCTGTAGCTGCATGCAGAACTTCAACTGCCTCATCGAGGGCCCCATTAAGGCGCGCTTGCTGACCATACACCTGAAATGTGCAGAACGCTGTTGGGGCCATTGATTGGCACTGCAGAAAAAATTCATAAACAGGAGGAGGCAAATCCATTAAAAATATATAAAAAATATACTTACAACATATAAATATACAACGCAATACAATGAATAGCTTGCACATTGTTCCTCACCGTCTCCACAAGACGCTTCATTCCTTCTCTGTCGTTCTGCTGCGCCAAAAGCCGCGCGTAATCTCCAACAAAATCCAAGCGTGACGGATGCCTGTTGAGGAAATGCATGCGGGTTTGCATGCACGGATAATGTAATCGCTGCCATACTTGATGCATGCAGAATGCATGCAGCTGCGTGCAATTTGCATGTTTGCATGCAAGACATATACTGGCGAAATTGCGTACGTGCCCACAATTTCGTGCACACACACTCCGCCCAATGCAGGTTCTGCATGAATACATTCTGCTTGTAGGCATATAATGTGTTTTGTACTTAAATCGTGTGTTTTGCATTTAGATAGCTAAGTACAATTTGAATATTTGCATGTATGCATCCGTGCATGCAGAACACATGAACGCATGCGCATACATTAGCACCATCTTACAGCAGATGGAGATGCTGAAATAATTTTACTGCCGATTCTCCTTCCCCCAACTCGTAGGCACACTTTGACAGCTGAAGAACAAGAATACAGTAAAGACAGGGGAGAAAAAATACAATAGATTCAAGCGATGAAAAAAAACAATGGGGACAATACAGACAACTGAAGCAAAATATGCAATAAAGAGAATTGAAGGGAAAATAACATAAATATTCCTAAAGAAAAATGCAATATGGACAACTGTGGTGGGGGGGGGGGGGGGGGAAAAAAAAA